ACCTCACCCATTCTCTCCAAAACCTTAAATGGACCAACGTACCGAGGACTCAACTTGCCCTTCCTACCGAACCTCATCACGCCCTTCGTAGGAGAAACTCTAAGAAGGACCTACTCACCCTCCATGAATGCCACATCACGAACGTTCCTATCAGCATAACTCTTCTACCTGGAATGCGCTGTATGAAGCCTCTCCTGAATCAACTTCTCCTTATCCAAAGCATCACGAACCAAATCTATGCCCAATAACCTAGCCTCACTAGGCTCAAACCAACCAACCAGAGAACGACATTGATGGAGCCATCTGGATACTTGACTGGTTGCTTTTGTTATATACAAACTCCGCCAAAGGTAGAAACTGATCCCACTAACCCCCGAAAATCAATAACTCATGCCCCTAATATAGTACTCAAAAATCGGAATGGTCCACTCAGACTACCCAACCGTTTGAGGGTGAAATGTAGTACTCAACTCAACCTGCATGCCCAACTCACACTGAACAGCTCTCCAAAAGTGTGATGTAAACTGAGTGTCGCGATCCAAGATGATAGAAATAGGTACACCATAGAAGCGAACAATCTCTCTGCTTTAGATTTTAGCCAATTTCTCCAAAGTATAAGAAGTCATAACCGGAGCGAAATACGCCGATTTAGTCAACCGATCCACAATGAACCAAATCGGATCAAACTTCCTCAAAGTCCATGGCAATCCTACCACGGAGTCCATAGTAATACTCTCCCACTTCCAATTTGGTATATGAATCTTCTAAAGCAAACCTCCCGGTCTCTGATGCGCATACTTGACCTGTTGATAATTTAAACACCGTGTAATTTGCCCAGTAATGTCCTTTATCCTTCTCCACCAATAATGCTTCTTCAAATCACAATATATCTTTGTAACACCTAGGTGAATAGAATACCTCAAACTATGAGCCTCCTCAAGAATCCACTCTCTCAAGACATCAACATTAGGAACATAAATCCAACCGTGAAGTCGCAACCATCATCATCAATAGCCACCTTTTTGGCACCACCTCGCTGCACCATGTCGCTAAGGACAAGCAATTGTGGATCACCATACTGGCAAGCCTTGATGCGCTCAAACAAGGATGACTGTGCAACGACACAAGAAAAAACTTTAGTAGGCTCAAAAATATTTGGTAGGATATGGTAAGATCATCATAGTGGCACGCCTTGATGCGCTCAAACAAGGATGACTGCGCAATGACACAAGCAAAAACTATCGGACAATGCTCGAACATCCATAGTTAAAGGCCTCTCCACCACTAGAATAAATGCCAAACTCCCCATACTCTTCTCCTTTCTACTCAAGGCTCTGCTACCACATTAGCCTTTTCCGGATGATACAAAATAGTGATATGATAATCGTTCAAAAAGTCAAACCGTCCCTGCTGCCTCAAATTTAAATCCTTCTATTTAAATAAATGCTTGAAACTCTAATGATCAGTGTAAACGTCACAAGAAATGCCATATAAGTAATGCCTCTAAATCTTGAGTGCGTGCACAATAGCTGCCAACTCCAAATCATGGATCAAATTGTTCTTCTCACTTGCTTCAACTAGAATGACGCATAGGCAATCACCCTACCATCCTGCATCAACACATAACCAAGACCAATACGTGAAACATCACAATAAACAATATAAATCGTCGATCCTGAGGCAATACCAAAACTCAAGTCGTAGTCAAAACAGTCTTGAGCTTATGAAAGCTCTCCTCACACTCGCCCGACCATCTGAATAAAGCACCCTTCTGATTCAATTTAGTCAACGGAGCTGCTATAGATGAAAATCTTTCTACAAAATCGATAATAGTACCCAAACAAACCTAGAAACTCCTGATCTCCGTAGGGGTAGAAAGTCTGGGCCAATTCTGAACTGCCTCAATCTTTTTTGGATCCACCCCGATTCCATCATTGGACACCACGTGGCCCAAAAAATGCCACTGAATCCAACCAATACTCACACTTGAAGAACTTAGCATACAACTTCTTCGCCCTCAGTACCTGAAGTACCATCCTCAAATGCTAATCGTGCTCCTCCCTACTATAGGAATGTACCAAGATATCATCAACGAACACAATGAGAAAAGAATTAAAATAAGGCTAGAATACACTGTTCATCAAATACATGGAAGCTGCTGGGGTATTAGTCAAGTTAAAAGACATAAAAATACTCATAATGCCCATAGAGATTCCTGAAAGCCATCTTAGGAATGTCCGAATCCCTAATCTTCAACTGATCATAACCCGATCTCAAGTCAATCTTTGAGAACACCCTATCAACATGAAGCTGATCAAACAAAATCATCAATGCGAGGAAGTGGATACTTGTTCTTGATGGTAACCTTATTCAACTACCTGTAGTCAATATAGATTCTCATAGAACCATCCTTATATTTTACAAATAATATCGGTGCACCCAAGGTGACACACTTGGCCTAATGAATCCCTTAGCCAACAACTCCTACAACTATTCCTTCAATACTTTCAATTCTATTGGTGGTATGTGATATGGTGGAATAGCTATGGGCTGAGTGCTTGACACCAAATCAATGCCAAAATCAATATTCTTATTGGGTGGAATGCCCGATAGGTCTATAGTAAATACATCTAAAAATCTCTCACTACTGGAACTAACACAATAGTAGGAGTATCGATACTAACATCATTCTGGCCAGATATGCCAAACACACCTTCTCAATCATCCGTTGTGCCTTAAAAACAATCACTCTACCAGGAGTGTGACCCATAGAAACCCTCAGTTCCAACCTTGGCAACCCTGACATCGTCAACATCACAGTCTCAACGTGATAATCAAGAATAGCATGGTATAGAGATAGCCAATCCATACCCAAAATCACCTTACAATCGACCATATTGAGTAATAAAAGATCAACCCTAGTCTCATAACTCCGAATGGTAACCACACAAGACCGATACACACAATCTACCATAATAGAATCACCAAGATGTGTATATACATGAACATGGATATCAAGGGAACCATGAGCATATCCAAATAACGAGCAAAATATGATCACACATACGAATAAGTGAAATCAGGGTCAAATAATACTGAAGCATCCTTGAGGCACACTAAAACAATACATGTCATCACGACATCCAAAGGAACAACCTTTGGTCTTGCCAGGAATGCATAACAATGGGCCCGTCCTCTACCTAACTAACCTCCCCTTTTAAGACGGCCTTGAACAGACTGAGCTACACCCCTAACTGGCTATGCGGGTGGTGTAGCTGCTGGCGCTGGAACCATGAACTATGTGCCCTGATGTGGTACAATGCTTAAAAGCTTGGGGCAATCCCTCTTGAGATGTCTCAAGTCCCTACACTCAAAATAACCCCTCCTCTAGTATGGCTGCTAACATAGTAACAGACCCTAATAACCTGAATATCCACCCATAGAACTCTAAGCATATGAAGAACCATATGAACTTTATACTGGCAGTGCATTGAAAGATGGCTGGCATGTGTGGGCATTGTATGAATTAGGGCTGACTGACGAACCACGAGAAACTTAATGAGCTGTATAAGCGATCCTGAAAGGACAACCTCTAATGTGATGTGGCTGGCCTACAGATGAGGCACCACTAAAACCAACCTAACCATAGGGCCTCTTGGGCTCCTACTTCTCTCGCTCCTGTGTGTGAACACGCTCTATGTGCCTGACAATCTCAACAACTTGGTGAAAACTAGTATCAGTCTCTGCCTCTCGGAATACCATATCGGATATTATAGTTGAGTCCCTCAATGAACCTCATGACTCTTTCTCTCTCTCTCTCTCTCTCTCTCTCTCTCTCTCTCTCTCTCTCTCCCTCTCTCTCAGTAGGGACCAAAAACACAACATGACAAGCTAACTCGGTAAATCTCATCTCGTACTTGGTCATAGTCAAGCCCTCCTAGCATAGATGTGCAAACTCACTATGCAACTCATCTCCATAAGATTATGGTATGAATTTCTCCAAGAAGAGAAATGAAAACTGAGACCAAGTAAGTGATTCTGCACCTGCTAGCCAACTCAAACTCATAAGTCTGCCATCACTTGTATGCTGGTCCTGCCAACTGGAAAGTAGTAAACTCAACCCTATTTGAGTCTGCTAAACCCAATATACGTAGAATCCGATGGCATTGATCAAGAAAAACTTGTAAATCCTCAGTAGGCTAGACACTGAAATAAGGAGGATGAAATCTTTGGAACCGCTCTAGCCTCTTCTGCTTCTCAACAGTCAAGGATGGTCTAATCTCGGGCTGAACTGCAATGACTAGCTACAAAGCTAGAACCCCCGACATCTGATAACTACGAGCCAGTTGCTCTGATGTATGTGCGGTGGAAGTCTGGGATCCTCCCCCGACCTGTGAGATAGCTGGAGCAACTCGAATCATACCTACCTGAGCCAAAATCGTATACACGCTCAAAATCTGAACCAAAGTCTCCTGTAGTCCAGGTGTAGCTCCTGAGCCTGAGCTGGTCCCACAGGCTCAACAAAATCAAGAATCTGCTCATCGACTGAAGATACGAGTGGCTCCACAATGGCGGCTCTAGCAAGGCCTCTAACCGCGGTGAGTGGTCGACTCTTGCCTTTGCTTCGACCTCGGCCTCTCCCGACCTTGGTCTAGGGTATTGGTTCCTGCTTAGCTATACTCGAAGAACATATCTTCATTATTTGTGAGAGAATAGAAGAGCAAGATTCAAACTTCAGGATAAACAAATTCACATGATAGAGAATGAAAGAAAGAGAAATTTTCCTAATAGTCTCGTAGCCTCTCGAAGATAAGTACAGACGTCTCTGTACCGATCCGCAAGACCTTACTAAATTTACTTATGACTCGTAAAACTTAAGCAACCTAGCATTTTGATACCAGCTTGTCATGACCCAAAACAGTCACCGATCGTGATGACGCCTAACACTTTTGCTGGCAAGCCAGTCATAAAATAGTAACGAATTACAAAATGGATAAGTCTAAAAGACAAATAACTATAGATAATATCAAATCATAACTCAACTCCACATAATTGGTAACATGAGTCACAAGCTCTATAGTACGAATACAAGTCTGAATTATAAGAATACTATTTGAAACAACAACAACAATAAAGGAAAATAAGAAGAGACACCAGGAACTGCGATCAGGAAGCAAGTCTACGTCGGTCTCCATCGCATAACAATCAACTCAGCTCACAGAGCTCGACTGGGTCCAATTCCGGAATCTGCACAATCAATTGCAGAGTGTAATATGAGTACAACCGTTCCCATGTACTCTGTAGGTATTATGACTAACCTCGGCGAGGTAGTAGTGGAAAGTATTACAAATTATACTCACTTAACAACCTACACAATTCATAAATATACAAGTACGCAACAATGATGCCAAGCTAAGAATGAAATACACGTATAACATATCAGTGCATATAGAGATGATGTGTGCAAGTCTTATAATAGTTTAAGAGCTCAACATATAGAGAAGTTATGCGACTATCACTAATAAATTATCAACATTTGTATATATAGAAGATATGCATAAATAATCAAGTCAATGTGCAAAGGTTAACATATAGAAAAGATATATACCGTGCATTCATCCTTCGGGTAAAGCATCATACAGAGAAGATAAGCATAAAGAGGCATATATTCCAAAACTAGCATCTAGAGAGGATATGTGATAAAATTATGTATACACCCGAGTGTTTGCAAATAGAGAAAAGATGCAAAAACCAAACACTGAATAGTTTATCTCATACCGTGTGTACGTTATCAAAAGAGAAACATGAGAGAAAGACACTAGGAGGATGGATCCTTATCCATACGCTACACGGACAACTCACATGCTATAATATAACAACCGCACGGACCACTTACGTGCTATCATAACTCAAACTGTACAGACTACTCATGTGCTGTCAATTCAATCCATATCAATCACAAAGCATATACAAGAATACATGTATACGAATAATAGATATTAAATCACATACTTATGGACTGATAAAAGTAACATGCTATGGTGTATACATGTGCGAAGTGTGCTAGCATAGCTTAGATTAGGCAGATATGCCACAAAATAACAATTATCATGTTTGAACAGAAAATTAGCCTACACATGATCTCTAGCATGATTCAAGAAGCTCACGAAGGGGTACAAACATATGAAGCACGAGAGCAAGAAGCATAGAATCTAATACAAGGCATAACACAACATAAGGACTATCCCAAACATGAATAAAACCTGGTGCATGCATACATACTCATCTCCCCGCATGTACGTCACCCTTGGCATGTAGTCATCATCAACAATTCAAGTAACTAGTGCTTCAAACCAAGTCTAGGCAAGATACTTACCTCAAACAAGCAAACATCAATGCTCCAAAAATGTCTTTCCTCGCAAATCGGTCTACGAACAACTTGAATCTAGCTAAAAATAACTCAATAACATCAAATAAATCTATATGAATCAATTCCAAATAGTAAAGCTACAATCTTTATTCAATTTTTAAAAAGTCAACAAAAGTCAATCCAGGCCTACATGGTCAAAAACCCGAGTCAAGGGGTAGATTCTGATAACCCATTGTTGCACCTCCTTTTTTCGGGTATGGGCAAATAAAATTTTTCAATTTAAGTGACATTATTTGAAAGGGATTGATTTATTTATTTTAAAGGAGTCGCCACTTGGAAATATTTGATTTCGGTATTCCAAGTCACCATTTTAAAAATCCCAATTAAAAGAAAATTTTGACTCCGAATTATGGTTCGTGAACACAGAAGACTGGGTAAGAAATTCTGTTAACCCACGAGAAGGCATAAGACACTCCCAAATTGTGTTGTTCTAGCACCGTCGCTTAATAATTTTACTTGGCTTACCTAATTTTAGATATTTGGTGTTTTGGGATTTTATATATTTTTGCCTCTATTCGCATTTAATTTGCTTAGTTGTTATAATTATAGGTTTCATCGTGAATCAAGTTGTGTATGTATACTCATTTCATTTGGCACATCAAGAATCATGTCACGCGTACATGTACACAATTAATAACACTTTATTATTATTAATATTGTTTTGGCAAAAGTTCATGAACGCATTCCTTGCCTTTACTTTTGAAAATTGTAATTATGTCACGTAAACGTATACATAATCACGATGATTCGATTAATTAGGAGCGTGTTTAAAGCATTCTAACATAATCATGATTTGTTTTTTCGCGACATTTGTGATTATTGTAAGGCATAAGCATATGAAAGTTGGAATTGTAGGAGCAAAGAGACTTATCTTCTACAGATATGTTAGTTTAATAGTTATTATATTATGTTCAACAAATTTATACGAGACTGCAAATTGCAATAGGAATACCAATGACGAGAATGTTGAAAGCCCATTAGGCGAATCGAGTTTTGAGGGGCATTTGCATCTATATCCAGGTTTTGGGTCAACTTTTAACTTATACCCGCTTTGCAAAAACAATTGCAAGTATACCCACTTTTCGGATAACTTCAGACATACGGGCCTGGAGTAGCAAGAATATATGTCTGAAGTTTGAACTTCAGAATGTTTTGTCTGAAGTGTAGCAAAACTTCAGATATTTTTACGTGAAGTTTGGCCTGACTTCAAAAGGCAATCACGCAAACTTCAGTTCATAGTGCAATGGCAAACTTCAGCTCAATAAAACTACATGTTTTGGCTGAAGTTTTTGTTTTGTAATTGCTGAACTTCAGCATTCTAGGAGCTGAAGTTTGTTTTATAATTGCCGAACTTCAGCATTCTATGAGCTGAAGTTTGTTATGTAATTGCTGAACTTCAGCATTCTATGAGCTGAAGTTTGTTATGTAATTGCTGAACTTAAGCATTTTAGGGCTGAAATTTGTTTTGTATTTGCTGAACTTAAGCATTCTAGGAGCTGAAATTTTTGTTTATATTTGCTGAACTTCAGCATTCTTAGAGCTGAAGTTCTATGTCTGCACACGGAAATATTTCAAAAAACGAATTCAACAAAAGAACATATTGTACATAAAGGAAATAGTACTAAACAACAATTAATTTAATAGATCATGATTAGCAGCGATTGATGCTGTTCATTTCAAAGATTAAAGAATGAAAAATATTTTCGACATGAAAACAAGTTACCACAGATAAATTAGAACCATAAACCAATGTGCATGTAAAGCATCTAAGATGTTAAATTATTGTGAATAAGACCAAACCGAACATAATGGGACAAACAGATATATAGGAATCATCAGGTCAAAACGCATAACAATATTTCAGCATTCAGAAAATGAAGGAGGAGGAGAAAGAGGTCTTAAATTGTTTAAAAAATAAGTACAAGTTAAAACCTTTTTTAAAAAGTGGGTATAGGTTAAATGGGTGCGACCAAATAGGGCACTCCGTGCAATTTTTACGAGTTTGGAAGGGAATAATAAATGCTAAAGTTTGAGTTTTAACATCCTCTCCTCGGATTTAAGGCTTGGTCATGGAATGTGAATGGGCTTCAAAGGCTATGGTCGAGCAGTCATACTGAAACTCTTAGCTATCCGAGCACAACTATCGTTGGGCTTTAGTGTGAAGCCCAAGGGATCAGGTCCCTTTAATCGCCGAAGGTCCCACTTAGACCTTGATTTATTAAGCCGTATAAGGTTCGGGGTCCATTTAACCCCAAACACATATGCAGGCCCGCCTGAGCAAGTAATAGGCTTAAATTTAAGCTAATAATAGTCATCGATTTACAGAGGTAGCAACTCTAATTATACTAATAACCTAACAATATCATAAGTACATTTTATAGAAATGGAAATCTAAATAACTAATGACACAATTGAACTATTAATTGCAGAATTAATCACTTTACAACTAAATTCAAATTACAAAAAAAGGCATCAATATAGCTAAAACTACAAAGCATCCCTTGGACATTCTCTGACAGCAACGATTTCCTTCCTTTATTTTATGATATGGTCACTTTTTTGAATTTATGAGTACGACTTTCTTTACTCCTAACCACATTTTTAAGAGAAAGCCATAAAATATTAGAAGAAATGATCTTCTTTTGGTCTTAAACTGCAGATCAGACCAACTAGTGGTTAGATCTGCAAGTGTTGACCTTCTAACTATTCCTAATATTTAAAACTAATAGGTGGATCAACTACACAATGTAGAAAAACAACAAAAGGACCCATCTAAGTAACAGTAAAATACAGGCACTGCTCCATCAATTTTTATCCTATTCAACATTTATGCACACTAGGCAATCCAAAAGCACATATTTAATAGATATTCATACTTCCTAACTCACATCACTGTGTTCAAACACATACAATAACTTCACTCAAATATTTTAAAAGAGAAATACAAACAAAGAGGGACACTTTATAATTTTGCAACAGCAAATCACTTCATCATTATATTATTAAAATAGAGTTATATTTTAAGAGATCAAGTAATACCTTGAGAAGCAGAAAGTAACAAGAATATTAGCAACAAAACAATGGTATGGAGCTCAGCAACAGATCCAATACACCAATGCAATAGTGAACCAATGAACCAAACCCAGAAAAAAAACTTAAAGGAAAACCAGGAACCACCTTAGGTTTTATCACCCATGAAACATATTAACTCTCTTCTATTTTTTATGATTTTTTGTCTTAGCACTAGAGGTTCCGTAATTATCCGATCCGAATCCCTGTTGTGGCTATTGAGAATCCTCCTAAAATGAAAGGTAAGTGTCCTTTTTATAGGCACAATTAGGGTTTCCCCTACCCCTTATCTTTTTACCCATTTAACCTTCTACCAACGACCTAAAAGACCCCTTAACCAATAGGAAATTCGCTACTTCTCTATCCTAGCAGCTGCTCAGCAGTTGTGAAAAGATTCCCACAGTTAGATTACCTAGCCGCCCTAAACATTTCTTACATTTATCTTAATGCCACTCATTTTACCCTATCTTCTAGCACTTTCTATTTTATTATTCTTTTAACTCCATTTTCATCATTTTTTATCCTGCCTGACTCTAATGAATGGACCTGGATCAACCTACGCTTGACCCGAAGGGTCACTTACTACATTGGTCTAAAACAGGCCCAACTTAACAATCGGACTTAAATGAACAACACGACTGAATCAAAACATGGAGTTAACAGTTGCAACAAACTTGAAATCCCACATTTAGGTTGAGGTATACTCAATTAGACTTAGATGCTGAAGAAACAAATCTTTCCATTAGAGTTATTTAATCTAACGTGCAACTACATGATAACATGCTGAAATTCTTAATAAGTTAACCATGCAACCTAATTTAATTAACAATCAAACTATAAGCAAAGCAAGAAGTTAATCTAACCAAAGGAGAAAGGACCCGAAGAGAGGAAATGGTATGAAGCTCACCAATCTTCTTGTAGTGCTCTACTAGGCTCGGACATCATGGATACCGGCAAAATCGATTGGGAACGAGGGGAAGGTAAGGATTGTTTGGTGATATTTTGGGGCATTTTGGTGGTGTTCTGCCAGTGTGAAGCGATTTCCGGCACGGTCAACGGTGGTCAACGGGTGGAGGAGTGGTGATTGGGAGGTGATGGGCGACGAAGACGAATTCCGGCTGCCCTGGATCCCTAAATATGGCGGAAGAATTTGGGAGTGGTTTCAAGCTCTGTTTTAAAAGGCATTTCCGGGGCGAGGCGTACCGAAAACGCCCCGGGGCGATGGTGTGGGGCGAAAGTCTCAAGAGGCGTACGCCCCGTATTTTGGGGCGTACGCCCGGGCGTTCGGGGCGCGTTTTTTTAGTAAGGAGTAAGCCCCACAGACTTTTTCAAATTAAAACAAAATATGTTGAATTAGTCCTTCATATAATACCCAAATTCTCAAAAGTGAGTTTGGTAATTACTCAAAAGGTTTAAAAAGGAAGTCAAAAGTATTAAATTTAAAAGTAAAGACCTTTTTTATTGATTTAAGCCTTAATTCATGGTTTTTTCAATTTTTTATCTTGTCCGCTAGTTTGCTAATATCTTCCAAAAGCAACGAATATTTAAATTTTTTTACAAATACAAAGAGAACTACATTTTTCTTCATAGCGGCAAATTCAAAGTTTAAATTGCAGGTTAATCATCCTTTTTGTTCCTCCATATAGAAAACTTTATTCTTTTAGACTCAAATTACTTGTGCTTGTAAGTAACGTATAATAGATTATTTTGATCAGTTTTTTGTGGGGATATAGCACACATATATATAGTTTTCTTCAATTTTTATGCAATGTTACATGTTTATAAATATTAACTGTCATTATATTATTTTATAAAATATTAAAAATTAAATGCCTATGGGGCTTACGTCCCGCGCCTCGGGGCTTACGCCCCGCTGATGCATATGTAAAATGCTCCGCCTTACGCCCACGCCTTTTAAAACACTGGTTTCAAGGATGATAAAAATCCAATCTTTGAGAAATTCTTTTATTAAAAGAGGTCAATTGGCAAGATGGCATAGTTTCGGCCTTAAACTATGCCGTTTCATGGTCTTTGAGGTCAGAGGGGCTGGACCGGGTCAAGGGAATGGATAGGGGTCAATTCTCTTCCTTAACTTTGTACAACTAACCACTTTAACTAAAGCATCTCAATTATGACTTATTTTGCAAAATCAACATAATTATTTAAATATTTAATAATTATCTTTTAAGATTGTAAATTAACCTAGTGAACTAATTAACTATGCCACTAATGAATCCTAAAAATGCAAAATGAATGATGGCTAATATTTCTTTTAATGATTTTTATGTGTTTTAATCATGCAACTAAAATGTAATTACTACTAGGGAATGCAATTAACCGAGTAAAATGGGACTAAAAGTGAAAAATCAAAAATAAATAAAAATGCTTAAAAATCACATAAAATTAAAATGGTTAAATAGACTAATTTAGAGTATTTTTAGGAGTAATTCTAGATAGGAAAAAAACTACGTGCTCACAACTGCCCCTCTTTGCTCGAAAACTTGAATCGTTTTCGGGGACAATATGGGCATTGTGATTAATTTTTGCCCGTTTGATACTCTGTGGGAGGAATTATGAAAAAACAAAATGACTGAACCTTGCTTCCGAGTTTTTCTACATATCCTTGACTTTAAAAGAATCAGGTCAGTGTAGTTCTAGGGATTTTGATAGATGGGACTATCAAAGAGTTGTGATTCATTGTTGTTCTGTTGTTACTGCTTGCCGAACTCCTTATTACACCAAAATCAAACTTAAAGGAAATTGAACACGCCTATCAATTATAAGTTATAAGATTCCTATCTATAAGTCTTATGAACCTTGGTCTTGAGTATTGACTCATTCTTCATGCAGACTTGTAACGACCCGACTAGTCGTTTTGAGCATTTGCACTTCGCTCGGTAGTTTATGGGAATGAGTAGCTCCGTATGATGTATTATGACTTATGTGAATCGTCGGTATTAATTTTCAGGTTATTCGGAATCGAATTGGAAAAATGAATTTTATTGTGGAAGCTTTAAATTGTGAGAGTTGACTAAGTTTGACTTTTTTGTAGATTTGAACCCGAAACGGAGTTTTGATGGTTCCGGTAGGTCCGTTAGATGATTTTGGACTTAGGAGCGCGTCCGGATTATGATTTGGAGGTCCGCAGTGGAATTTAGCTTGAAATGGCGAAAGTTAATTTTTTAGAAAGTTTGACACCGGTAGTGGACTTTCTGATATCGGATTCAGATTGTGATTCCGGGAATTGGAATAGCTTCGTTATGTCATTTGGGACTTGTGTGCAAAGTTTGACGTCAATCGGACGTGATTTGGTAGGTTTCAGCATCGGTTGT